AAAACCAAGGTAAAATCAACCGTTTAGAACCAAGGTAAAATTAATCATTTAGAACCAAGATGAAATCAACCATTTAGAACCAAGGTAAAATCAACCATTTGAAACCAAGGTAAAATCAACCATTTAGAAACAAGATAAAATCAACCATTAAAACCAAGGTATATTCAACCATTTAGAACCAAGGTAAAATTAATCATTTAGAACCAAGATAAAATCAACCATTTAGAAAATCCATTTGGAACCAAGGTAAAATCAACCAACCATTTGGAATCCAAGGTAAAATCAATCATTTAGAACAATTTAGAACCAAAGTTAAAATAATAAAATCAACCATTTGGAACTGCGAACTAATATGGAACTTCGTTCGTTTCCCACAATTTTTCTAAGAGTCTTCCGAAAGTAATGACGTATTTTATCGCTATGAAATCAGAATTACGGTGAATAGTGTAAATATTTTGTAGGTTGTTCAACCAACCCAGAGTACTAATGCGAGATTAAAAAACAAACCCTAAGTTAAGGAAGAGAAATACATAAAGAGGACTCCATTTTTCATCAATCAGGATTTTTGCACATAAAACAGGGTTTTCGTGTTATGTACATTAGATCTGTCCGTATAGCGCAACTCAGAACATTGAAACTTTTTTCAAAGTGAATGCTCGAAAGAACCTCAAAAATAAGTCTTGTCACCCCTTCCAAAATGTAATGCGAACAATGGAAGTAATGCGGGTAATGCAAAGCACATGTACTGGATTCAGTTTATTCACTTTCATTGACGCTGTCACATCCCGTGAAGATGTGTATGCACAACCATCATTTTCGTAGCACAAAATGACGCGGCGCCATGTCCTTTGTGATATTTTTACGAAGATGTTCTTTGTTGATTGTTGCAAAGGCTCTCCGAAAGGCATCCTTTAACTGGTATCTTTCACGTGAAACTCTCTCCTTGATAATACCCCTACAGGGAGTTGAAATAGTGTTATGGAGTGGTTTCCCAGTGGAGGCTTGTATTTGTACTAAGGTGGTCCTAAAATAGGTTCGTGATATAATAGGTATGTCACAGAGAAATCTAAGTTGTGGTCGCTGATACTTTAGTATCCGACTAACGGTCGTCCGGCATCGACTGACTGACCGACCCACTGAGCCACAGCGACTGACTTGTTACTTTTACTACTCCTACATATTATAGGTGGGAGAGTCTATTAACTATAGAATAGGTGTGTTCCACTATAACAAATTGATAATTATATTATGTAGGGGGTGACATATTCAGAGATATTCGGACCACACTTTAGAATAAGCGACTTCTCTTTTTATCCGCCCCCCCTCCTGTTTGACCGAAAGCGAGTGAATAAAAATTTCTGGTTTATGTAAAGCTGAAACGTATATTGGATGGCAAAGATAAAACATTTTGGCGATTAAATATTTCTTTAACTATTTTTTAGAATAAATATTATTTGTTCCAAATACAAAGCCTATTATTTAATCAACAGCTGGGGAAGGAGAAATAAGATATGGATGGACTAGTGAAGATTATTTCGAGTGTATGTACCGGATGTAACAGCAAAATTTTCCAATTGTTAGATGAAGCTCAAACAAATTTTTCATAATAACAAATTAAAAAACAAACGACGCGCATGCGCGAAATTAAAATAAAATGGCGACAATTTACCCAACGCACCATATATATATATATATATATATATATATATATATATATATATATATATATATGTGTGTGTGTGTGTGTGTGTGTGTGTGTGTGTGTGTGTGTGTGTGCATATTGTCATCCATAGACAGACTGTTTCTCAGCTCATCAGTGTGACTAAACATCCGATTGCTTCAAACCGGGATCGAGAGACGACTGAACGCATTAAATTGTCTTGCAGAATATTCTGGTATCTTGCAATCTATTTTTGATATTCTGCCAATACCTTTTGCAGAAAAACAGACCCAGATCATGATACTGCCACCACCAAACTTTACAGTTGGCAACGTGTTCTTCGGTAAGTAGGCTTCACCGGCCTTCCTCCACACTTGATTTCGATAATTATGACCAAACAACTCTATTTTAGTTTCATCTGTCCATAGTACTTTTCCCAGAACGAATATTCTTTATCCTTATGCTCTCTAACGAATTTTAGCCTAGCATCTCTGTGTCGTTTCAAGAGGAGTGGAGTCTTCCTTGGGATGCGTGATTTCAGACTGTTTTTGTGTAGATCATTACTTATTATACGCTTGGTTACTTTAATCCCTAATGCACGCAGATGTTCCTGCAGCTCTTCTCGGTTAACCTGTTGATTTTGTTGGATCTGACGTCCTAATATCCTTGCTGATCTTAGAGAAATCTTCATCGGAGCACCTGTTCGTCTTTGGTTTTCGGCGCTGTTACGAGTTTTAAACATTGCAATGAACGAAGCAATTATAGCAAAAGGAATATTCAGGTTGTTAGAAATCGTTCTGTAACTGTTCCATCTTTCCAAAGAGACAAAATGTGTTGTTTTTGTGAAATAGTCAATTCTTTACCTTTAGGCATTATTAGAACCTTCTCGTAAGACTAGAAATTGCAGAATGCTCTGATAATGGCTAATAGCGTTAACTATAATTACTGATAACATTACTGGAACATTCTAGAATATAGTTTTTTTCATAATTAATTGAATATTTTATTCTAACAATTGATTTGTACGAATATCTTTTTCACCAGTTAGAATTTAAAAATGCATTAATTTCTGTTTGAATAAGAATTAATTAAGTTTATTATTATTTTTTAATAGTATTTGTCTTTATACATAAAATGAGACTTGTTTTATTTAAGGCTTTTATATTTATAAAAATACAATTTTTCAAGTGTACGAATATTTATTTCCCCCCACTATATATATATATATATATATATATATGTGTGTGTGTGTGTGTGTGTGTGTGTGTGTGTGTGTGTGTGTGTGTGTGTGTGTGTGTGTGTGTACTGCTCATACAATCATCTGTTTTCCAAATTGTAACCAGTAAGCGTATTCTAAAAAATCAATATTATTTCAGCTTTCTTTTCATAGAAAGAGAATTTCTATTGGAGAATAATGATGAATGATTGTCTGGTGTTATGCAATTAAATTTGTCTCATTAATCCAGTCAGTTTACCTAACACATCAACGTCTGAACGTTCCTATTTCGCTTGTAACACCTTGTCTCTAATTGTCTTTGTACTGTCGCCTTCCGATTACAAACCGAATGGAAAAATCTACATGTTATGACCTCGCTTTGGTCAACCCCATTTATTTTTTATTTTCTGTCCTCAAATGGAGAACACTATCAATTTGTTTTTGCTGATATCTGCCATTGACACAGTTAATGAGACAAACGAATACGCATTTCCGAACCAATGACCGGCAATGTTTACTATTCACTCAACTGAAAATTACCTTTCATTAATAAATAAGTTATGATGTTATTTAGTAAGTGCAGAGATTTGCCCTGAGGCCATCACTGAGATATAATATATATATATATATATATATATATATATATATATATATATATATATATATATATATATATATATATATATATTTGAAGAAATATAGTCTTAAGATGTGCTATATTTATGGGATAAAGTGCTCAATATTAGAGATAAAGCGTGTGTAAATATAAAAGTGAACATAGAATTCAACAATTAAAGGCGACAGTCTGTTTCATGCTAGATGCAATCGTCGTGGCCATAACAAGCGGTGGAGCAAATAAGTTCACTGAAAGAATATAAAATGTGTTGTTAGACAAAGACAACAAGACAATGTTCTCTATAAGACTGTGACCACTCCCCGAGGAAAAGTGTGCTAATCTGAGAGTGCTCAATGTTTCGGAGATTTCCAAAGCGTATTAACCGTGAACTGAATATAACAATCTCGATCAGAATTTGATCTCGTATCGTCTATTCTTCTTTCTGTACTGGTAACTCTTACACATACATATATATATATATATATATATATATATATATATATGCTTGTATGTATGTATGTATGTATGTATGTATGTAAAAACGCGTCCTCCGCGTTGTTACAGACTGCGCATTAATATGTGATATTACTCCGATGTTAATTTTATGAATCACCTCTTCCATGGTGGCTCAAGTTGGGAGAGACGTGGAGTGTTGGTATTTGATATAGTGCCGCTAACAGAATTTGAATGTTAGACCGCAATAAACAAAATAAAGACTTCATTAGAAAATGAATGACCAATGTTTACTGAGGCACGAAGAGACAAGATGCGGAGATAGGGGGAATGGTCGACTACAAATCAGCTTTATGTTGAGGGTGGGTAACTGAATCTCCTTTTTTGTTGGGACGGCTACCAAACACGTTCGAAAAGTGTTTAGTAACACCGTGATTTCCCACCATTATGGAATAATTTAAAAATTGCTTTCCTTTAAAAACAAAATGGTCAGTTTATCAATTTTCTCCTCCTCTCCCCATGTAGTGGCTTTCCCTTCCTGTTCATTTTTCGAATGTAACATTGCATAATATAAATAAATATTTACGGCTCTACTGTGTCTATTGAGCACTGTTTTAAAATTAATGTTCTGAACGCTATAATCTTATTGTTTGTTCTTCTAACTTTATATATCATTTATTCGAAAATTATAGCATAAATATCTTCTAAAATCACTACAAAAATAGTTATTTTGTTGGAACACTTTTGATGTCTTATTAAGTGATGGTGTTGAAAGACAATCAACACCATCACTTGATAAGACACGAGAAGAGTTGAAGCAAATGTTAGTGATTTTATAACATATTTATGTTATAATGGCTATTTTGTAGTGATTTTATAACATTTTTATGTTGTAATTTCCTAATAAATTACATTTGCTCTACTCTGTATTGAGCACTCTATTAGGAATAGTATTTTTGGGTTATTGAAATTTATTCCGTATACACCAATCCTATCCGTGTGCGTGGTATATATATATATATATATATATATATATATATATATATACATCACAGTCTCTGCATATCTATCTATCTATCTATCTATCTATCTATCTATCACAAATCTCTTCATATCTCCCCCTTCTCTCTTTTTCTCTCTCTCTATATAAATATATATATATACATGTGTGTGTGTTCATATCTCTCTATCTATCCATGATAATGTGTTCATATCTACCTCCCACTTTCTTTCTCTCTCTCTCTCTTTATATATATATATATATATATATATATATGTATATATATATGCATATATATATAATTACCAACTATAACTATGTGCAAAATTCAGTCGTATTAACAAATAAAAGCAATTATACCCATATATATATGTTGTTTATAAGTATATATATATATATATATATATATATATATATATATATATATATATATATATATATATATATATATAAAAAATTGCCAACATTCAGTATATAAAATAATTTTACAGCATCAAATTATAATTAAATCTTCTTCATCTGAAATAGTTATACACTATGCCTCGTTCTTTAGGTTTAGCATGCAGTCAGTTTTCCTACCAATATGACACTGACGATGTGACCTCCGATTATTCCAAACCCATTTCATAAATTCTATAAAAAATATATTAACTAAACTAAAGGCTCTATTACCCGACATCATATTCTTGTTTTTTCACTCAAGATCGAGGATTACTATGAAAAAGATTATAAAGAATCAGCTGTCCGACATGAATTTTATAGAAGGTGCAAGGACGCGAAAATTATTAGGATAAAGACAATATGCAAAGATTGATATTAAGATTGTAATAATAAAGGAACCAACCACTGTAGAGTTTGTCCCACAATGTAGACGTTCTGTGAACGTTCTCGTTAATTTTAAAATGCGAAGGATATAAAGGTAATTTTACTGCACAGAAGTGGCATCGGGCGTTCTAGCTGTAAATGTCTGAACTGAAGGAAATGAAGATATATCCTAAATGATATTTTAGGTTGGCAATTTATCGACCAGCGCTTGCATCCAAGTAAATGACAACAGATCTACTCGTTTTGAAAACATTAGAAAAAGATGCAATCAAAAATGGTGTTTTGAATAGAACGGCTGAAGTAACTTTTTTTTTGTCAATTTACCAACAGTAAGGCCAAATCATACACTTAAGTTTGTATAATCAAGGAATACCTTCATGCTGCAGACGGGAAGACGAAAGAAGATCCGCCTGTCAATGTAAGTTTTAATTTGATCAAGTAAATGTTGACGTCGTTGGTCCGTTCTCACAGCGTTCAGATATGGCTTCATTTTTGATGTAAGGCATCTCCAAAGATATATAGTTACGTTTCTTGAAAATTTAATCGGGATTTTTATTAGAATATGAGGAGCAAACCAACGCGCACATGCCAATGTACAAATAAAGACATCTAAAATGTTCATATATATATATATATATATATATATATATATATATATGCACATGTATATATACATATATATATATATATATATGTACATGTACATACATATATATATATATATATATATATGTGTGTGTGTGTGTGTGTGTGTATGTTTATAGGTATAAATATATAACGTATGAACAGAAAATATATTAAAATAATAGCTGGAATTAGTCCATTTCATAACATATATATATATATATATATATATATATATATATATATATATATATATATGTGTGTGTGTGTGTGTGTGTGTGTGTGTGTGTATATTTAGAGAGAGAGAGAGAGAGAGAGAGAAAGAGATAGAGAGAGAGAGAGAGAGAGAGACTGAAATGGACTAAGGCTGGCAATTATTTTAATATATTTTCTTTTTATACGTTATTATTATAGATACAAATATTAAAGGAAATGCTCTGTTTATAGGAAACATTATTAACAACCTTAACCGGCCTGAATATCCCTGAAATTTCATAGAAAATATGTGTGCTCCGACAGGGAAACAAACCTGTATTTTACACGGGACCGTCATATAGCCTGGCGTGCTAAACTATTTAGCTGCAGAGGAAGCTTTACATGTAGAATATATATATATATATATATATATATATATATATATATATATATATATATATATATATATAACTTTAAAATACGCGATCATTGATTTCACCTGACATTCTCTTCGTCGATACTTTTAAAATGACCACTTTACTGCTTTATTTAAAAAATCCACAAAGATAGTTCCCTGGTCTTATTCAAATTTTCGTTTATGGAGATTGCGTGTATTGGTGTCATTGTGGAAGTGCTGGGAAATTTCGTCGTTTTGTCATTCATCGTACTAACGCAAACATCGATGTATGCAGACACATATACATACTTGGTCGTCCGTCGGGACTCATACATATATAAACATATGTGGGCAGTTTCTGCTATAGCATATGTGTGTATACGGGTGTTGTTATGTCTATACATAAGCATTTGTATGTTGAAATGTTGAAATTTAAACATTGGAATTGTGGCGGAAATGTCTCGTTAATGTCTCGTGAATGTATACATGTCATATTATGTATTTTTCCGGTGAAAAATATTTCCTCGCATGTATGAAAATACGTGTGGTGGGGTTTGTGTAAAATTATGATAGCTAAAAATTATTATTATTTATATCTATTTTAAAATTTTTGAAAAAAAAATGGGGGTTTATTTGTTATATTTAAAGCTGGTTATTTGTTTGTTTTTGGTGACTGTGTATATGTAACAGGTAGAAATTTGTAATCCTTATTAGATCATTTATACGGTGTTGTTTAATATTCAATGTGCTGTGTGAGAGGGTAGTTCAATTTAATAACGGGTCTATATGATATGCTGTGATAGTAATGTTTCAAGGGATTGGAGACAATGATAATATAATTAGCTAATAGTTATTGTAAATTGGTAGAAATTGTAAATTGGTAGAAATGATTAGTAACGTCGGTGGGAGAATGATAAAACCATGAATGTAGTTATAGTGGTGGTAGCTTGAACTAAAAAGTGGTTGTTGGTGTTTTATTTTATTTGTATTTTATTTTGTTATATGTATTAATCTATTTTGGTATAAATCCTGATAATCGGTATTCTGTGTAAAATTATGGTAGTTGGAGATTGCTATAATTTTTAAATACAAAAGTATTATTGTTATTATATTAAAGTAGGTATCTCCACAAAATTGCTACAAAAAAAATATAGCATGAAAAAAAACGATGTAATAAATTTTTATCGGCTTAAATATATATATATCATTCTTAAGAAGAAACACCAAAGTATTTTTTGATTATTTTTAAAATTTTTTTACTCATTCTTATCAGGTCCGAAATTTTATTTAAAAAAGTTGTTTATTTCTGTCATCAAAATTACTTAAAAAAAAGTAGCTATCAGCCATTTTTTTCTAATTTTGTAAACAAGTTAAAATCCTTGTTTATAATTATTCCAAAAAATCAATTCTACGTTTTCAAAATTTATTTGACTAAAATTAGCAAATTTAAAGATTATTTAAAATATTTTGAAAGAAACTTTTACTTACTTTTTTTTTCGAATAAAAATTGTTCGAAATAAAAAAAGTAGGCGATCTGAACTGTGTTGTCATTTTTCAAGTGCTGAGTGATGCCTGTCATCACATATCGACAGCTAACGTGAGATTCGCGTTATCATACGGATAATACGTGATACGTGACGTAACGTTTTTTTTTTTTTTACGTGAATCAGCTTATGTACTACCCCGTAATTAGTAGATAATAAAAAACAAAAAAATAGCATTCCAATTTCCTTTATTTTGTTATTTTATTATTACTGGAACTTAAAACATAACTTTGTTGATACCATCTATAGAGATAATAAATACTATAAATAATGAAATCTACGCTTGAACTCAAGCCACGTGACGTTTGTGACCTTCCGTACTTTTTCATGACAAACCATTTAAGCGCTTTTTATCAAAACATAATTACATTTCTTCATAAGGGGGATCATCGGATTGGTCCAAATTATACAATTTTCAAATCCCTAGACAATGACGAGCTAAGAAAGAGAAGTACAAAAAGAATGATGGTGCTGTTATTTATTTTATAATTTTAAAAAATTTAATGAAAAGTGTTAAAATTTCGATTTAAAATTAAGGAAATGAGAAATAATTGTATTAAAAATTCAATTTTCATTGAAAAATTTTTGCTTTCAGAAAATATTCTCCATATTCATACGAACAAATAAAAACAAATAAAAGCGTTTGAGATTAAATAGTATATTTGTTTTTATTGAGTTTTGTATGTTACAATTCAGGAGCTGATTTTTCAGGTAATGGGTTCATTAAAAAAACAAAACAAAAACATGATTTACATTCTTCAAAGCCTTGTGCTTTAAATATTGTAATCACTAAAAACCGATGGTATGGAATTTTTGAGTTTTTCATAAAATTAGATATGGGGTGTTAATAAAAAAAAAAAAATATTTCTGCCATGACTTTAATAAAATAAAACATATTCATAATAATTTCGATCATTTGTGAATATTTTCTGAAAGTTTCATTAACATCTGACAATTATTTTATTTTTACAAGATTTTCCAAATTAATAGGTATAATACCAAAAAACGCGCTAAAATTATCTATGTTATTTAGTATCCCTTTTTGCAAAAAAAAGATAAACAAGGTTTTTAAATCAAAATTTAGAATATTCTAAAAAGATGGAAAAATTTTGAAAATAATTAAAAAAAAATTTGGTCTATCCTCTTCATAAAAACATAAGCATTTTTGACGATAAAATTTTGTTTTCGTAAATTTTGGCGTCTTTTTCATCAGACTATGCTCTATTTTTTCGCAATTTTGTGGAGATACCTATATTAAAGCTGCCTGGTAATAGGTGTTTATTCTCATGGTTACATATGAAAATTATATCTGATCATATTGTTTTAAGGTATTAAATATGCTGGGGAAGTAATAAAGATTGTAGTGGATTTATATGTTAATAGTGTGTAAGTGATGGTGCTGTGTGTTAGTGGTAATGATAATATTATTAGTTAATAGTTATTGTAAAGTGGTAAAAGTGATTACTAATGGTGGTGCAATGATAATAATGATAGATGCAATTATTTTGATGGTATCTTGAAATTAAATTGTGATTGTTGGTAGTTTGTCTGTTTTATCCGTTTGG